AATGTGAAAAAGCTTTTGAAACTACTTTTAATTTTCTTGAACAAAATAATATACAAGCAGATTATAATGAATTAAAATCTTTAAAATCATTGAAAAAAATAAAATAAAATCATATAGTATTCAAAATTCAATACAAACAAACATTACTAGTTTTTTCAGTAAATAATTGACTATTAATTATCATTTTAATTTTTTGTAAATTTTACTGCATTATATCAAGTATTGTATTAAGTATTATTATATTTAAATCATTAAACAAAAAAAATTTTATTAAAATTTTCCTGTTGATCCTGTTGATCATTATCTTGTTTCAATGGATTTAGGTGGTCAGTCCCATAGATCCGTTGAAACAAGGTTTGACTGTATGCTTGCTGGATCCTAGGCCCCTTTACATAGTAAAGAAATGGCAGTTCCTTTTCCTTGCATTCACTAACTATCATTATAATATTATTGTTATCAAAAAAAATATTTCTGCTACTATTATTTCCAAATTTCATTAGAAATTTATTTTATATGGATGATCTATTAATCATAATTATTTGTGAATTTTTTATCTGATAGGTAAAATCAAAACTTTGTCACAGTAGACTATAATAATAATTAAATTCTTATCGTAATGGATTTTTAAAATTTTTGCTTCACATATAAAAAACATAAAATTTTTCTTATTATTGTGTGTCCCATCTATCCATTGTGACTATATCAAGATATCTGTTATATTGAAAATAATTTTATTATTATTATTATTATTATTATTATTATTATTATTATTAAACATTAATCTGTTATTATCCATTAAATTGAGGTACACTACATTGAGATTCACTGTATTTAATATGATAATTTAGGAATCTGGTTTGATTTGAATCAAGTCATGAATCAAATCGAATTCAATTTTTTTGAATCAAATTGAATAGAATTGACTATACATAATGAATCAAATCAAAACAAATCACTTTAAAATTTGTTTTGATTCGATTTGTTCAGAGCCTTACATATAATGGTGATTTGGAACCTTGGATAAGTCACCAGGAAGTATGGTGCATGTCATCTATAAACGTCAAAAATGGTCACCTGACTTTAAAAGTTTCACAAAATTTTTATTAACAAATTCAAAATTTCGGACTAAAATTCTTTCCATAAAAAGTAAGTGATCCTGATAAATTTCAGCATCAATAAAGATATTATTCATTTTATAAAATGCCAAGACCATCTAAAAGGAAATTACATACAAGAAACCTAGTAAATAGTAAAGAAAGAAATTCTAATGGAACGTTGCAAGAAATCATGGAGATACATGGATCTATATATATAGGAATGGAATTATTGGAAAGTTGGCAGAGTATGCTGTCAAAAAATATAGATCCATAGAAGAATTCCAGAGTATATTTTTCAGGAATTAAATAATATAAATTTGATTTAATTTTTTATTTGATTTGATTATTATTCTTTTCTTTTAATTATCTTACTAAAAAATTATATAACTCATCAAAAAAAATGAACCATTGGAGTATCTGTTTTTCTAAATGGTCAATGATTTGACATACAAAAATTTTTTTGCGCTTTGCATAATATAAAAAATAATTACTTAAATTGGAAAGACCTACATTTTTAAATTTCGGACTTATTATTATTGATGAAAGGGGTAAACCCTAATTGATAAATTTAATCATGTGATACTGTCATTCAAAAATTGACATGAATTTCTCGACCCAAATTTTTCAACTTTATTTATTTTCAATAATAATTATTAATGGACAATTTTATCCCTGGACAGATATTTACAACTTCTGCAAGTTTGGTCGATAGTGTTGATCGTAAGTTAATAATAAAAGTAAAAATAGTGTTGAATTAGTCAATTGGTGAAGCAATTAAAAATTTAATTGATTGATAATATGTTTTACATAGGAAAATTATTGGTAGTACTTCGTGATGGTCGTAAGTTAATTGGGGTACTTAGATCATTTGACCAATTTGGTAGAATAAGAAAATAAATACATATTTTTATAATAATTACATATGTATTTTTATTTTTAAGAGATATTTAACATAATTCTTTTTTTTTTTCCTACAAATATATATATATATATGTATGTATTAGCAAACTTGGTTTTACAAGATACAATAGAAAGAATTTATGTAGGAGATGCTTATGGAGATATCCCAAGGGGAATTTTTATAATTAGAGGAGAAAATGTTGTACTATTAGGAGAAATTGTAAGTAATTAAATTGTTAAATTGTTAATTTAAATTTTAAAATAATTAAATTATTATTAATGATAATCATTCAAAGGATCTTGACAAAGAAGATGAATTACCACTTAGACAAGTCGCAGTAGATGAGATTTTATTAGCACAAAGAGAAGAGATCGAAGCAAGACAAAAAAAAGAGAAACTTAAAAATAAATTATTATATGATCAAGGGTTTAGTGTAGATTTTACAGAAACAGATTTATATTGAATATGAATATGAATTGGAAATTTTATAAAAGCACTTTTTTCTATCAAATCACATCACAAGTTTATTAACAGCAAGTGGTTTAGCTTTATAACAATTCCAATACTTTGATCAAGATAATTTTAAAAAAACCAATTAATAATACAATTAAAAATAAAAAACATCACTTTTAATGAATTGATATGGTGTAATTTTCATTTATCCCACAAGGGTACGTTGAATTATTGGATAAAATTTAAAAAAGTGGATGGTTACCATTCAACCTTAAATTTAAGATTGTTCAAGTTCTATTATTATTATCTCAACTTAAACATAGATTCTATAGGGCATACTGTAACAAAACTGAACAAATCCACCAACTAATCTCTGATAAAAATGATTAAATTTGCTAAACATCAAAATTGAACCATGCGATCATGCTTACCAATAAGATTTAGAGCCTTCTTTTCTTACAAGAAAGTAAAAGATTAAAAACATTAAGCTGGCAACGAGCAAGCCACTAACAAAAACCAGGTAATGCTTGGTTATTGATATAATTATTTGTCTCCCTTTTGGAAGCTTAATTCTTTTGCCTCATTTAGCATAATAAGCTTCTAGATCTTTATGTTCATTATCCATAGAACCTACTAATTGGTTATATCTACTTGGTCTGCTAAATGGTTCTATAAAACTGTTGAATCTGGGTAACATGTAAGTATTCATATCTTTAATTCAAAGCATCTGCCTCATCTATACTAGTTTGATAGATATCCATAGAAAAACCTCAGAGCATTCTAATTTTTAATAATACCCTATAATAAATTCAAGTAGTTGATAATAGCTTCATTGGAAGTATTTGGGATAGATTGTTTAGGTTTTTTTACACAACCTTTTGGTAATTATAGCCCTTTATCAATTAATTTAGCAATAGTCTTTTGTTTTTGAGCTATGATCCCTTGCTGATTATACTGCAATTTTGCTTGGCTTTCTTAATATTCTTGTTTCCTCACATTAACAAATTCGTAACTTTTTCAAGGAACATCATGGAAAAAATCATGCTCATTCAATGTCGTACGACATCAAAAATAAATATATGGATAAAATAAATAGGTTATATACAAAACAGGCTTAAAAATCAAAAGGGTAATTATGTTGTTATTTTTATGAAATAAAAAATTTGTATTCCTATTATTTTTGGTCGTTGTTCTTTTTACTTTTAATTCTATCAAAACTTGAGAAAAACAGTCCCATTTGGTTTGATTAGTCAAAAACTACTATTTATTAAAGAAAATTTCTTGTATAAAATTAATCGTGATTTTGCCGATCATTAAATCGAACTCCGTTATCCCTAAACGGTCAAATATTTAGAACTTATTCACATATATTGACATTCTTATTGGTGGATCTAGGAATGATCTGCAAATAGTTGCCCAAAATAATAATTTTTTCTCCAGTTGTATAACTTTTAAAGAAGGTTTTACGAAAACTACACGAATTTTCTTTTATAGAAAGCGATACCCTCAGAAAAGTTTTGCGCATTCAAATAAATTCGCGGCCATATTTGACCGTGTGACCGTAATGAATTTTATGTTGACTAATAAGTTACACGAGTGTAGTGTTAAATGTTTTACAAATTTTATTTTATTTTTTTTTTTTTAATTAATTAATTAATTAACGAAGGATTATTTGATTTATAAATAAGAGGAATCTAAAAAATCAATATTATATTATCCAATCATTATCACTATTATTATTGTCTGCTGGTTAGACAATAAATAAACACTTTTTATCGAAATTCTTCTCATCACCATTACTTACACTTCCTTTCTTTTTCTCAATAAAAAAATTTTTTTTCATTGAAAATGATGATTCTTCAACGTGCTTTAATAGTATTGTTTGTTATATTGGCTGGAGCTTTCACTACTGATTTTTATTTATTTGCTTCCTCACAAAATTGGGATAGTTTTCTTCGTGGTCTCTGGCACTAATGGTTGTGGACACACACATATAATAACAATAATGGATTATCATTTGGGAGTGGCAAAGCACAATCAATTTATGGGATATCAAATTTAGTTAGCCTTTGACGATCTGGCTATCTTTTTTAAAAAACACATATACGCGTCTCATGTAATGTTTAAATATATGGGAATGAAATGTCCCACATGTTATATTTTATATAAAATTACATTTTTTAGACCATAAACATGGCCATAAACAAACTAGAAAGTAATACAATAGAAGTGGCTAAAGTTATAGAAGTGGAGGAACTTTCAGCAGCGCCAGATTTAGAAGAGTTATTGTTTGTAGGTTGAATATTTATCACGCCCCACATACCGCCA